ATAGACAGGTACACACATGCATACATACATAGACAGGTACATGCATACATACATAGATAGGTACACACATGCATGCATAGACAGGTACACGCATACATACATAGACAGGCACACAGACACATGCATGCATAGACAGGTACACACATGCATGCATAGACAGGTACACACATGCATGCATAGACAGGTACATGCATACATACATAGACAGGTACATACATACATAGACAGGTACATGCATACATACATAGACAGGTACACACATGCATGCATAGACAGGTACACACATACATACATAGACAGGCACACAGACACATGCATGCATAGACAATGTACCTACCTACATGTAACAGTGTTATGTAATGAAGTTACAAAATAAATGTTACTGTAATTCGTTACAGTTACTGAGGGGGAAAATGCGTAACTGAATTACAATTGCTAATTAATTGTTGGTGATTAAAAAGAGGTTACATCTGAATATATTCTTTCAGGTAAAAAAAAAAAAAAAGCTTAGATAGAATGTAACATTATTTTTGTTGCTCTACATCTTTTCACTCTGCCAAAATGCCTTCTACCTAAAGCCATTGGGACTTTTCAGCTTTATTTGCTAGAAAAGTAAACAAATATAATAATTATATATATTATATAATATTATATTACTTTGAAGTAAATAAAATAGTTACATTACTTAAAGATTTGTAACAGGGTAACTAGTAATCTATAACGTATTACATTTTAAAAGCAACCTTCCCAACACTCTGCATAGATATGATGAGGCCTGTGTTATATGCTGTGAGCAGGTGATCAAGAACACCCTGGATCCCGTGTGGGCGCCCTTCACGATACCCTTCATCTCTCTCTGCAATGGTGACATGGAGAAGAGTATTAAGGTAGATGTGTTTCACAGGGTACCATGTCACCTCTGCGAGGACAGGTGCCACTAGAATGTAATACTATTATTAAAATTTTGTTGAGCACTTTGGGTCAAATATGTCACTTTTTAGGGAGGTGATGTAGAGAGTGGCAACCTCACTGTACCATATACTTATTCCTGATACTCTTTTCTCCATTATTCCAGGTTATCTGCTCTGACTTTGATAATGATGGTGGCCATGACTTCATCGGGGAGTTCTACACCACTGTCGCCAGGATGGCTGAAGCTCAGAACTCTGTCGAGGTGAAGGTCCAATGGAGATGGTTATGCTCTGACACCAGTCTGGGAACTCGCAGTGAGGCTGGTCTCCTCCAATTAGATGGCAGTAATCTGTTGTATGAATGCTAGCCACTATCATTCCTTATCTTCTTTAGCTCTGTATGTGGGCAGAATACAAGTGAATATCTCGAATCTTGTGAGGTATGAGTCAATGCTTGAGAATGGCTCAACCTGCAGGCTTTACAGATCTTTGGCTCTAAATTGTCTTGTAATGAGCAGTATTTTCATACATAATGGAAACAGTCTTACATTTTCTGAAACCTTAATTGTTTAAACATCTCAAGTGAAGGAAATGTACAAAAAGATCTTGGTGTGCCAGCGTATGTGGCACTTCCGTTGGCACACTGCCATCTTCTTTGAGGGACGCTCCACCCACTCGAAAGATTCGGAATGTCTGGCAAGAGCAGCCTGCGTCAGATCCAGCCACAGCCTCTTCACATTGCGTTTTTTAACAGATGCTTTTATCTGACGTGACGTACAATTGAGAAAGCAGGATCAGCCAATCCCTGTAGCAACTGGGGGCCTTGTTCAGGATCTAAGTGGCGAAATCACTTTGCCAGCCACTGCATTTGAACTGCTGACCTTCTGGTCATAATCCACTCAGCCACACTCTGCCACCTGAGCTGCCCAGATTAACCATATGGCTATTTGGGCATGTGCCCAGGGGCACCACGTCCTCAGGTGGCACCAAGCAGAGCGACCCCTGCCACGACCCCAAGCCTCAACCCCATGGTCCCCAACCAATGTCTTAAGTTAATGCAATTTAACATCTGACATATTGAATATGGTTGTCTGTTCTTTTAATATTTCACTCACTAAAAGCCAGTGTAATGTTTTCTCTATGTTAGATGCATTTTTATTAGATGTCATACATCAGCTCAGTTTCTGATGTGACGTCATATGTGCAGCTTCCCAGGGGCACTTAATGCTGTTAATCCCACCCTGTCCCAAAGTGGGCATCTTGACTGGAAATCGTGTCAGTCAGATCTTTGCCTTGGTAGATTCTCTTGAGCCATTCTTTTGTAGTTTTTTGGAAACAGTCCACTTTATTCCCAGCTTTAGTTGACAGACTGATAACATCACATTCTGTGCAATGATTCTCCTTCAAGGATTCATGGCTACCTTAGTGATGTTGAGTCATCTAGATCCAGAGAAATAAATCAAGCACCAGATCATGACACCAGCACTATACCTGACAATTGGGATGACTAATTTGATGGTGGGAGGTGTGGCACATTTGCCAAACATGTGCCCTTTCATTGTGACTAAAAGATCAATTTTAGAAATATTTCTCTAGTTTTTTTTTTTCAGTAAAGGCTTCTTGTCTACATGCCAATGAATGCAAACTTTCATTTGATCTTATTTTTCATTATGGTCATTGGTGATATTTTGTGAATTGCTCTAAATTTCTACATTTTTAATGTTTATTCATGACACAGTGGTCTTGTAAAACCATATGGTTCATATTATTTTAGTTGTATAACATTCCCAAAACTGATGCACACTCACTCTTGAAAAGATGGGGCCTTCCTATAAGGGGTTAAAAACACTGAATTCCAGGTTCCTTGCTAACTGCATTCTGAATATTGCTGGGTGCCTTTAGGTTGAGTTTGAATGCATCAATCCCAAGAAGCAGAAGAGAAAGAAGAACTATAAAAACTCAGGTGTCATCATTTTGAAGTCATGCAAGGTAATCATACACAGCTATAGCACATGGATATGCTTATCTCATTATAGGCCTTCAGTTTTAAATCATAGCTACCCCGTAAAATATATATGAATTGGAGTTTAGTGACATGAGGCATGTTACTTGTTTCTTTAACTTAATTTGCTTACTGAACCACTCAGGTGGTCAGATTTGAACTGATTCTCTCCAGACCCCATTAGTAATGGATGGGTCATGGAGTTCTTCATCATCCCAAGATAACAAGCCATGATTGTGATGCTATGCAATGCCAGCCCTTGTTTTTGATGTGCTGGCAGAGGGCATTGCTTCAGAACGTGCTCCCTGTTGGGCAATTTCCTGACCCTCTTTCTGTGTGCATCCTCAGATCTCCAGAAACTATTCCTTCCTGGACTACATTCTCGGTGGCTGCCAGCTCATGTTCACTGTAAGTACATGTTAAAAAGATCAGGGCTAATCTTAGCTGCTGTTTCTCGGGTTGTAATTTTTTGTTTTCTACAAAAGCTGTACTCCCATCTTTTCAGTCTGTTCTAGAAATTTTCTTATAAATATTTTCATTTTCGATATAAATACAGGGTTCCCACGCGTCCTGGAAAACCTGAAAATTTTGAGAGTTATTTTCCAGTCATTGACATGACCTGGAAACTGATATAAATGGCCAGATGACCTGTAAATAATCTTTCTTGTCCTGGAATTTTATTTCTGTTTTTGCTTTTTAATTTTTCTGTTTGAAACAGCTCGCTGTTCGTAAGTCTAGATATGATGGCAGCTGAGCTAGGTCGTGCCCTCTGCTGCGCAATGTCTCCACCTACTGAGACATGTATAGGCAATTATATTTGAGTTTTGACCCTCGTTGCTCTAGCTTGTCAGTAGCTGACAGGAGAACAAGACAACATAAGTTCATCACTTGAAATTTCTGCTGAGTGCATGACTGTAAGTATGACCACAGTGCATATGGTGCAACTGACAGTTTTGTTACATCATACTGTCTGATGTGGACCCAGGTTGCATGTTAAACATGTTAAATAAATTGCCGATGCTAATTTCTGTTAGCCTGTTAATGGCAATTCCCATTAGGTGTTAGCATAGTGCTAATTGTCTAATGACGGTAATCGATCTAAAATCATTTTGTAGGCCTACCTGGTCCCACTGTTAAGCAAATAAATTCAGTAAACCAAACCTAAAACAGCACGAACACGATAACAGTCTTAAAAAAGAATTAGACTAAGAGCTTCTGCTTTCATTTAAAACAAATGGGGCTTGGCTACTTGAAGCCTACATCTAAATGCCTGTGCTTGTGTGTTTGTGTAGGTTCGTGTGATATCCTTGCAGCCAAGCAATCACCACACAATAAATATTACTTGGCTTGTGCCGTTTATTTGCACAACTGAACACGCTTAACAGCTCCTGGCTCAACTTCTTCTTCTAGCTAGCTTCCATTATCTAATATCTATTCCATTATCTAGATAAAATCTAATGCCTATCGTAAAAGTGTTGCTGAAAAAAAGAAAGAGGTCATCGGTCTGGATGCAGTTTTATCAGACCTCAAGGAGCATCTTCAGATGTGTTGGTAGAGCAACACCAGTATTGTTTCTAAACCTAAGCCTACACCAGATGCCTTTTTCATAGGTTACACTTCAGTGACTTATAGATTGTTTGTTTTTTTCCAGTATACTGGAGTTCAGGCTGTTATCCTTTGTTCCTAGTATTCTTTCTAGTTTAACCAAGTTTTCAACTCAGGAATTGATGGCAAGGCTATCATGATTTAAAATGGATGCATTTAGCTTCTTTTCCCACAAAGATAAGTTCTTTATTATAATCTTTGTCACTGACTTATGCAAATTCTACAGCTGCTGTATTCCCAGGAAAGCTACCAGTTATCTCTGACTTTCTGTTTTGTCTCGTGCCAATTGTTGCATATATTAGTGCTATAGGTATCATACACATGATATAGGCAATAAATTTGCTTTATGCAGTTTTGTTTAATACAAATATTGTACATAAATGTATTTGATATAAACAATGACATAAAATGTAATATGCATTATGCAAGTAACTTTTACTGAAATTAGGTCACTATGGTAGCCTATTTCGTGGTGTGATCAACAGCTCTATACTGAACATAATGGCTAATAATTGCTCAGTATATGCCAGTGTTTGGATAGTTTTCCACAATCCAAGTGGCATTTATTTATTTAAAAGAGTTTTGCAGTTTAAAACAGTGTGTAATAAAAAGAGATCAAACAACTCCATTATACATCAATGCATTAATTGGTGTTGCCTTTATGTAATTTAGCATATCGGTGACACTAAGTCCCTGCATAATCAAAGAGAAATTAAAATGGCGTTAAGCCTGCGACTAAAGTGTATGACTGTAAGACCAGATCCTGTCATGAATTTCCGGAAAAAGCTCCTGGAAAATGATTCCTTAAAAAGAGTGGAACCCTGTAATAGCTGTCAGCTGTCACACGTGGCGTTCCCCAGGGCTCTGTCCTGGGGCCACTGCTCTTCATCATTTACATTCAACCTCTAGGCCAGATTATTCGCCACTTTAATCTAAATTTTCATCTTTACACCGACGACACCCAGATCTATGTTAGCTCCAGCTCCATAAACACCCTCCCACTTGCACATATAGAATCCTGCCTCTCTGAAGTCAAATTATGGATGAGCCAAAATTTTTTAAAACTCAATAGCGATAAGACTGAACTAATTGTCTTTGGGACAAAATCCATACTTAGCAAAACTAGCCCGATAACCCTCAAATTGGATCACACTACCATCTCTCCATCTCCTCTAGTCTGAAATCTTGGTGTCACCTTTGACCCATCCCTCTCGTTTGACGCAGACCTACGTGCCATAGTAAAAACAGCTTACTTTCCCCTCCATAACATCGCCCGTATTAGGCCATACCTTTCAAAATCTGCTGCCGAGTCCCTCATTCATGCCTTTATCTCTAGCCGTCTTGACTACTGTAACTCACTACTTGCTGGTATCTCCGCTATATCTCTTCATAAACTTCAGATAGTTCAGAACTCTGCTGCCCCCCTCCTTACTCACACCCGTTCCTATCAACACATCACACCCATTCTGCAGAGCCTGCACTGGCTCCCTATAAAAGAGCGCATTCATTTCAAAATGCTGCTTCTGACATTTAAGGCTCTTAATAATCAAAGTCCCCCATATCTTACTGATTTGCTTCTACCCTACCAGCCTCCCCGCAGCCTTAGATCTTCCTCTACTGGCTCTCTCTTCATCCCCCCTTCCAAATTACATAGCTATGGTGACCGTACTACCATTCGTTTATCGACCTCTGTTTCAGATTTTAAAACCAAGCTAAAAACCTTTCTTTTTGCTCAGGCATTCAATCTTCCATATGCATAATGTGTAACCTGTTTTCTGTGTACTTTCTCTGTAAGGGGTCTTTGAGTTCTTGTAAAAGCGCTATATAAATAAAATGTATTATTATTATTATTGTTAAATATAATTAGCAAATCAAAGGTTATTGATGTTTCTTCCAAGGTTGAGTCCACAATCCATCCCAGCATCTATGTACAAGTCGAATGGGTTTAGTGATGGTTTGCATACTGGTCTTCGTAAGAATAAAGAGCTGCTCTGGTAAACCCATTTCTGTGAGTAAACTGCATAGTTTTTCATGGTCAAGGCAGTGCATCTTTCACTTTTTTTCAGTTTTTCTTTCCGATCTAGCTTGCTAATATCTCTATTAATTCTTCACTGTGGAAAATGGAGAATAATGGCTGTCATATTATATTGTTTTTAACTGATTAATCACATATATCAAAAAAGATTTTATAATTTGTATATTCAGTGTAGAATTTTATTTATTCCAAACAGAAGTCTCAGAATAAAGACAAAAATAAATGTTGCCTATATCGGTATTGCATGGATCAAATAAAGCAGTTATGACATAAATGTGTTTCACTCCATTATGTCCATCAACAGACTCCTTTTTAAACTGAGCTAATGACATTGCTTTAAAAAACTGCATATGTCTAAATCTAAAACCTATTTGGCAAATTGCTCTAAAAACAGAACCCAGGCAACCACTGAAAGTAATGGGAAATTTCCTCATTAAACTATTAGCCTTCAACAAAATATAATAAAATATTGCAAATCATGGTATTTTTATCCTCTGAGATATCTGACATTTTTTCAATGAAATGAACCAAATAACAATGTTTCCTTACCCTTCCCCTCCATCCCCTCCCTTTCATGTGAGATGCTAACTGAAAGTTTTGATTTTATGTATGAATTCTGGGATTCTGTTTACAACTAGGCAGGAATACTGTACGTCTCTATTAAAAATCTTTGCTCGTACTGTTCTCCCATTGGGCTATTAAAATAAACGTATGCATTAACACAATCAAGTAAATAGTAACACGTTATGACTTTAAAATGAATGCTAATGCATTAACTTTGATATCCCTGTGGAGGATCTAACGCTAAAACCATCATAACAGGCCGTTCGAGTTGATTGGCTAACTGGGACGAATCTGAAACGTCATTACCCCTGAGAATTTTTAGACAAGCAGCATCTACATACCTGTGCCAGAATGATTTTCCCCCCCTTGTCCTATTTATTTATACTAGCCAGTGGGCTAGTGTTCAGGTTCTTGTACTCACTCTCAGGTGAGTGGGCAAGCTTTATCTCCAGCCCCTTTGGCAATGATATCATTTATTCCTTTATTTTACAATGTCTATCATCTTCGCTGGCTTTCTAAATGCTGTTGTAAGAGTTTTAGATGTATGTGATTGTCACCACACAGTCCAGTGTCACGGTTGGCCTTGGTAGGCCTGGTCTGGGACCTTAGCGATGACCTGTTTTCAATGGGTGACCCTGATAGGAGTTAAAGGCTCCAGACAGCATATCTTTAGCTTCCTTGATGTACTTGGTACTTCATACCCTGTCATGGCAGCTTACCAAGAGGGACAGCTGCTTACTAGCTGCTCCTGAAATGCAAGCCTATTTCTGTGTTTCTGTATTTTTGCATGACAGTAATTTATTGTTTACTCACATTCACATAATTATGCTTTTATATATATGGTTCTAAAGCTCTGACATTGTCCTAGATCAGTGAGCAAATTCTATATATAGCCCCTGTTTCTTCCAAAATGATGGTCAGAAGGAATGGGTTGCTATAGTAACCATCTGTGTTCAGAAAAGGTCTATAAATCTGATGGGATAAAACATGACAGTATTTAGGTGCATGCACATCCATCCATTCATCCTTCCATCCATGCATGCATGCATCCATCCATCTTCAGACCACTTTTCCTGATCATCATCATAGTTTGTAGCACATCAAGCAAGTGGGACATGCCTGGGATGACCTCCTTAGGAGCCAACCAACCAACCTCATTTCAGCCATTTGTCCTCTTAGGGCTGATTCTTGACGCTCACAATGC